CCATGCCCAGCCCTCCTCCTTAATCCGGGCTTGGGACCGGCAGTAGCCCCCGGAGGGACTCCAGGCGGAGTTATATTCGTAGGATACGTGCTGTAAATTCGTTAATCGAAAAATTATTAAGAATATAGAAAAATCGTGACAACTTAATGAATCCGAGCCGTGCATTAACTACTTTATTCCTTACATTATTATCTCTTCTTGATTTATTTAACCTGAGTTTGTTGTCACTTTTTTTCTTGTTTTTCTCTTTCTCTTATTCTGATATGACCAACTAAACGAATATCAAATGATGTGGCTCCAGTTGAATTTATCAACCTCATTTTGTTAGCATAAAATCACTACTTCAATTTCAAAATATTCCAGTCTTCACCAAAAGTATCACATTTGAGTATTTGCCATAATTTTAGCGTACGCTGACAGTACTTGAAATCCCCATATAAACAACAAGGCCCCTAACGAATTTGTTTATACTAGCTTGTCATGTTCTGAAAAACCCTTCTTGAAGCACTGCTGGTTTATAATTTTGAACACAGAATGTGATTTACTAAAGGTTTCCCTATGAGACATGAACTCAAGTTCTAAAAAGAACGGCGATTTTCAAATTGTTGTAATATAGTTTTCATCTCGAACATTCAAAAAAATATAGCACTATAATACTAACCGTTATATCCTATGACCCTGATAATATATCTTGTGATGAGATCGCCAATTGGAACACTGACTAATATGACCTTAGCACTGTGCCTAACCAGTGACACGTTAACCGGCACGAACAGCCTAGAGTCAACTCTCATTCCTCATTGTTTCTTCCCGCCCGTTTGAGTCCAGAACACAATCTCAGCTCCCATTGTATAAATCATATATTTCGTACATACGCAGTTTATATACAAGCAAATCAGACCGCATCATACCATAAAATGAAAAATAACAATTATACAAAACATGCCGAAAAAGGACGTGAGTGTGAGATGCTGTAACAAATTAATTGGGAATAACTTAAGAATATTAAATCGTATAGTAGTAGTTAATAGGTCAAATGGAAGCTTATAACAAAAGTATATGAATATACATATATTATAGTGTGGCTTTGTATGAACCAATGATGGTTAAACATACATTCAGATTTTGATGCTTTTGAGGATTATTTTGAAAGGTTCGAAATTTGGACTATGACGAAGGAAGATGTTACGGATGTTAATATTGTAGCACATTTACTCACATTCATCGAAAAAGAAGCATACAGCTTATTGAAATCTCTAGCTTTATCAGAAAAGCCTATTTCGCCTCCTTATGCAACTTTCAACGAACTACTGTTAGACTATGTTAGGTGTACAAATTTCGAATTCCGTAAAAGAGGAAAATTTCGTAAAATGATTCATCGGGACATCGAAAATTCCACTACATCACTACGTCATCCCAAACCAGTGAGTACCCAAGATTATGCAGATAATTTACCGGGTTGCAATGCAGTTCGCATAGACGGGCACAAGTTTGGTCAATGTTTGTCCAGTGGCAGGTTTCACTCATTGAATTCATGTGCATTTCATAATTTCAAATGTGGTGAGATTGGAGAGATTCAGTCAGTTTATAATACTGAGGTTCGTTCTGCTGCACCTAATGCTAAACTTTGTAATTATGATCCTATAAAGTTTGATGCTTCTAATTATCATTTATCTCTATTCACAACTTCAAAAAGAGGTATAGAATCACACAGCAGTCCAGAGTTAAATGAAACTCATAATCATTGTGAGACAAAAGTTTCTAACAAATCAACCTCTTATCAGATTTCTCATGTTATTGTACCAGATATGGTTTGTCCTAGTTATTCATATATTTCTGATGAAATTTCTTATAAATCTGAGGAAAATATGTTGAGTGATTCTAATCATGATCGAAAACCTGGTGCAGTTTTGATGAATGCTGATTTTTCTTATGATTCGTCACTCTTCAATGACATTCTTAATAAATTTGAGGAAAATATTTCAGAAGAATCAACTCCTGATGTCATATCACATATTACTTATCCTCATAATGCATTTGCTTCTTGTGGGAAGCTTGGTCAATGCGAAACTTGAGTGTTAGACGAACTCGATCTTGATTACAATTCGAATAACCTCATATCAGCCGTTGTTTTTCCTTATCATGAAGTTACTTCTAATGAATACTCTGGTCAATAAGAGAAATATGTTTTAAATGCAGCCACATCATTCATAACTTAAGGGATATGAAGGTCTAACATTATTTCGTAAGGGAGGATACTGTCGGAATATCTACGGTTTAAATTCTAGATATCAGTGGTATCAGTACAAAACCGACATGGTGATTGTATACAGTTCCAGGACCCAGGTGAGTTAGTTCCAATTTCGGTTGTTAATTTTAATACTTATGAGCATATTCTAGATCATACAGAGTCTACATTTAATACACGGTCGGACAGACACGATGAACCTAAGGAGAAGAGGTACAAATGATTGCAGAAATTTAGATTCTCATTTAAGCTGTAGCGGATGTGGTGTTTGAATGAACTGATTCCTTGCTTTTGTGTACTTGTTGCATCAAATGCATTCTTGGTCCACTTTAACTGAAGTATTTCGGTTAAGGCTTGAAATCGTGGTAAACTTTGTCTTTTGGTACATTCTTTCTCGTTGACACACACTTGTGTTCAAATTGTGATCATATCGCGTTTTAAACCTTTTTAATGTTACTACGATGGTTGATTGTACTTATAAATGTGGACAGACAAACTGTTTGTTCCCTGTGGAGGAAGGAATGCAGTGTGATGTGTGCAAAAGTGGTTGCAAAATATGTTTACCCATTTAAGTCCCACCTCATACAAAAGATGCTCGAAGCCTAACTCCCATTGGCTTTTATTTTATGCTGTACAAATAAGACGTTACTAATCCAAGGGGCTATGAACCTACTGCTGTCACGACACCTTCCAAACACCCAACCGTGCAACAAGCAATTGAGCTTCCTACCCCGAAGCAATTAATCAGCGGCACGCCAATAGATATCGGTGGCCAAGTTGCTAAGGCGGCGACTGACGATCACTATAAAACCATTACCGTCCCGAGTAGCTCCAATGTAGATGTTGCGACTGACAGAGAATGAATGACGCCGAAAAGTAGGGGAGTAGGAAAGATAGCCAAAACTACTCCGACAAAGTCTCAAAGTAAAAACGCATCAAAGATTGTTGTGAGTCATTTGTTCGACTCCTATGACTCTTACAAAAGAAACTAACGGTAAGATGTCAGAAGTCAATATGCAGGACCTGACATCACGGTCGAGAGCCGTGAACATGAGTTTCAAAGAAGTTAAACCCTTCTCTGCTTAATTATTTAGAATCTGGATGAGTCGAAAGACAATGACCCTACTAAAAGGCATGCACACAATCTGCAGTTAGTGGAATCTGTAATCAGACGTGTACTGTCTGGAGAGGTTTGAGGGGTACATATCACATAAGTAATACGACTCGGTAAATAGGTTGGACGTGAGACCAATGCACAAAAAGCTCATGATTCAACCATTCGCATTCAACCAGAGAGTGAGGGTCAAGGGAATGCTATCCAAACTCAAGCCGGTCAAAAAGTGATGTACCCCAAGGCACCATCTTAGGTCCCCTACTTTCCATTCTCTACGTCAATGAATTACCGCAATTGCTTAAGTCGTTGACATTATTGTTTGAGGATAATATCCAAATCTGGAGAACAATGAGAAGCAAGGCTAATCATTTCGATCTTTGGGCTGATCTAGATGAATTAGTCAGATGGGCTCGAGGTTGAGGCTTAGAAGTTAATTCTAGGAAGAGTGTGCTCATGCACATTGGACACGGTAATAGTTGCCATTAATACTATTGATTGTACATCTTAGGGGTAATAATAAGTCACAACTTGAAAACAAGTACGCATTGTTACGCAGTAGCTGCCAGAAGGGTTCCATGCGTTACAATCACTTCACCGAGCATTCAAATGCTTTGACGAGATGTTTCGAATTTTATATCCCACCTATGTAACACCACACTTAGAGTACTGTATCCAAGCAGCTGGCCCATGTCTGATGAAGGGTGCTGACTTACTTGAGTATGTTCAGCATGTGGCAACAAAGTTAGTGGTAGATCTTTCCAAACTCCCTTACGATGAGCGTTTAAAACATCTGAATCTTCACTTCTTGTCGTGGGACGCGAGGTGACATTTTATTAACACCTCGTATCTTTAATTATGATTTGGGTGTTAACATCCAAGGTCAGGATTTTCAATACAAATGTCAACAAAGTTATACTGTATGGGGCAGAAACCTGGAGAACTACGAAAGCCATCATCCAGAAAATACAGGTGTTTATTAACAATTGTCTACGCAAAATACTTCAGATCCATTGGCCGGACACTATTAGCAACAACCTACTGTGGGAGAGAACAAATCAGATCCCAGCGGAGGAAGAAATCAGGAAGAAGCGCTGGAAGTGGATAGGACACACATTGAGGAAAGCACCCAACTGCGTCACAAGACAAGCCCTCACATGGAATCCTCAAGGCCAAAGGAAAAGAGGAAGACCAAAGAACACATTACGCCGAGAAATAGAGATAGACATGAGAAAACTGAACAAGAATTGGATGGAACTAGAAAAGAAGGCCCAGGACAGAGTGGGTTGGAGAATGCTGGTCTGAGGCCTATGGTCCATTAGGAGTAACAGGCGTAAGTAACTAAGTAAGTGGGTGATAATATGTACCATCGTTTTACCCCCTCCTGTACTAACAAAATCCGAGGTCATAGAAAGAAGGTTCACAAACTGTGGTCTAATAAACTGAAAGTGGGTTTCTGTTTTCTCATCGAGTAGTCAATGATTGGAACACCTTACCCAAACAAGTAGTATCAGCCCCAACAGTGAATATTTTCAAAGAGAAGTTGAACCTACACTGGAAGGCAATCTGTCAGGATTAACACAGGTTCACCAACCTAATATCCTTATTACTGAAGATTGACTCATTCTAAAATAGCCTTGTGCTTTTTCAAACTCAAGGTCGACAGGTATTTTCCCACTTCACGTAAGATATATACCCATCCTTCAAGTGTACTTTGAGTACGTAACTCCCATGTGATTTGGGTATGCCTGTCTCACATTTCAATTAAATCACGAGAAATAGCTTCTGAATAAAGCTCAACGTTCCGTTAAATTATCCAAATCTCCACGAATTTGTGGAATATTTACCCACAATGCCCACCAACTTCGAAGAAATGCACTGGATTTATTTGATAGATCTTCAAAAATTTTGATTATTTTAGGGAAAACCCCAAATTTTTCCAAGGTTTCAGGGGAGTTTCTGGAATTTTCTCCGTTTCCCTATTATTCGCAGTCAATTAGGCAAGCTTCACGTAGTACAAAAAGTAGTCTCCTGTTGTTTCCCACGTAAACATAGTTATTAAGTTTGGGGAAAACCCCTAAGTTTCCCCGAATCCATAAGAGTGTGATCAATCTGTAACTTTCAGATCTAGTGACGTAATTGCAATGTTTCATCTGGTTAATACGTCGAAACTGGAGGAACTTCATAACGAAGTTTCAAAGATTATTCGTGGAAACCGTGCCCAATTTATGCGTTCCCATTAAACTAACGTGGCGCTAGATGCGGTCAGTCCGCGAGTAATAAAGCCTGGGTCCAAATGCAATGTATATGAGACTAACAAATGTCCAGATCTTAATTCCAAATGACTACGCATGGTTGTTTATGAAGACTAAGAGCCAACCAATATAAAAATAAGTGTAATTACAATCATCTACGCGCAGCAAAAATTCTGGAGCTTTGTGAACCAGCTTCAATGGATTTCCCCAAAATCGGTGGAAATACTGACGAAAACCCCAAATTTTTCGAAACGTTTTAAGAATTCCCTCGAAGTATATCGGAAGTTCCGGGTTTGTAGTCGCATTTTGCCGAGACTATAACTTACGGATAGACCGATCAGATTTAACGGACTTTGGGTTTTTGCGCCAAATCCATTTGGTTAAATAGCATTTTAGCATTATGGGTGTTGTCAGTTCGTGATAAAAACATTAAGTATAGTTTCTAACACTAACGTCCAACCTTAATTACTAGTCCTGAGTCCTCACTAATTTATAACTCTCATATAACCCTATTATGTAAGTGGGCATTCGCAGTCATTTTATTGTTACTCAAAGGTCATCTGTAAATTATAGTCTCACTGAATAAACTTATAGACCACATATATCTGACTTATTCATCCCTCTTTGTCCTTTACTTTCAACATCACTGTGACTTCACACTATGTGCATTGTGTGGTGTGAGATTGTGCCCGTTTTCACTCTTGCTGCGTTTGTCGAGATTCGATTGGTCAGTGCGAAACTTTGTACTCTATAGGTTTAATGTCTTGATTTTCGATTTCAAATTCAGCTACCGTTATCTTAGCCTAGTTCTGTTTTTATGAAAGTCGTCCGTTGTGTAAATGTTGTTTACAACTATTTCGTCGACGAGTAATCATGAGACCGGGTTTTCTGTTGATGGTCTATGTGAACATTGTTAGCTAAATGTAGTTTCAAACATATTTTTGTCAGACGCATTTCGTCACACTCATATTGTTGGGAGTGGAAGCATAATTTAGCGCCTTATTAGACACTGATATCTGAAATTACTTAAGATCGACTTAACAATAAGTATCCGCAATTACATCAGTCAGTCAGCTACAACGTAAGACTAGGCACATTTATGCATCGGTCCAAGTCGCCAAACTTCATCAGCACAACAAGAACACCGAATTCATAGAGGTAGTTGGTTCAATTGTAGTGATGTATGAAAGAAAGATTATGTATAAGGATATAGTACAGAAAGAAAGAATTAGTTGATAAAAATAAAGATATAAAGTAATTTTAATCTCGCAATTTAAGGGAAGGCAGATAGTGTAGACACCGACACCATTGTGATCGATTCTGAGCCATGTCACACAGAGTCTCTGACCATTGATTACGATAGTCACGCGGATCCCAACTAAGTAGTCTGCATCTACCAACATGGCTTAGACTAGAAGTTAGTGACTTCAGGGACTGATACCACGTTTTTCACATCATTAACAATATGCCAAAGTCTATCAAATATTACTCGCATACCTACCTATCGTGATCGGTCACATATAATTCGTACAACAGGATAAAGCTGACTATTGTAAAACAAATTTCTACTTCGATGTCGTTAGGTGTATAGCGGGTCAGATTCTAGGCTCTACTGACTGTCATAATATATTTGATTCTATTTATTAACCGGTAAAATTTATCCTCATATCTCTTTTGCTGCATATAGCTTATTAAATGATACATACTTGCGTTTGATGGAGTGATTAATGTTTAGAGTATTATTTTGTCAAAGGTTTCTTGAAGAACTTCTTTACGTCCTGTAAAAAATACCCTAACATTCAGTTAATTCATTTAAATGTTACTATTATTTTTATCTTATGTTACTGTTTTTATAAGCTCATGATTATTCATACTTGTTATCAGTTTTAATTTTTCAGAACCTTCTTTCGTATATTGAAATCTTCCACCGCATGAATTTTGAGTATACAAATGGAGACCTTATATTACGGTCAACTAATACCTCTTCAAAGGTAAAAATATTTCAAATCCTCTTTTCCTGTAGTTCGATAAAACTTTGAATTCCTTATGGACTCTCGCTTATGAATCCAATTACTTTCATTACAAAATTGATACATCATTGAGTTCAGTAAAGAAAATTTGTTCTGGAAATGTAAATATTTTGATTTTAGTAAGTAAAGTCTGTTAAAGATGTAACTCTAGCCTAACAATAATCGATTCAGCCATCGGCGTAAACCACAACTATTTAAGACCATTAATGATCCACTTTCATCCGAATCCTTCAATTTTAACAAAGTCCCAAAACATGAATTCTTGTTAAATGTTTCTGAAAAGTATACCACAGTAAGCATACCACTTTTTTAATGTTTAGAAATCATGTTCTATACTGATAAATGTCAGTCCATTTTCATATTTACATTCTCTCTTGGTTCCGGAAGTAGAAAAATGCCACAATCAGGTATGAATGCATATTTTTTTTAACAATTTCAGTTCCTTGGAAAAGACTCCTTTTACTCAGTAATCAAGTGTTTTCTTTTGAGTAGCAACAGGTTAGTTTTACATTCTTTCACTACTTAAGTCAAATTGTTTGTAAAAGCTATATGAGCTATATTGTTGAAAATAATATGATCATATTTATATTGTTGGGACTTCCAGACTTTCGTTAGCCTAGGGTGAATTTTTTCCTCAGTTTTTTTATATATTACGGTTACTTTAAAGTCATAGGAAACGAATAACCTCATGCAGAAAGGTACATAAATTAACTAATTGACTGTCTCAAGTGTTTTTTTTTTCAGGGCTATCCATCGTTGTTATTTGACTATGTCATAGATAGTTTTTCAAAGTTAACAATGCCGTGCATTTTAGGAATTGATCCCCTAATTATTGACTGAGAGTAGAGATAACTTGCAGTTTTATGAATAACTTTAATAATAACACAAGGATTTAATCAATTTCTCTACCTCTCTAAATGCGAAACTTTATTTCTAAACTAGCGTGCATCAGTCCATGGCCTAACCACCGGGAGTGAATTTATTAAGTAGGCTTACCATTTCAGTTGATTTAGAAGCCTCATAATCACTGTTGTGTTATTGATTCATAAAATTCCAACACAGATACAGGAAGGTTAGTTCATTTTCACCACACCGGACCATATTTACACTTCATATCCGTGTATTTTGTAATGCCTTAATACTGGTGCAAAGCTCAATAAATTAGAAGACATTCGTACATTGCATGTAATTGAGCGTAGCTGTCCTCAAAGCTACTCGCGTTTAGTTGGACCACTAAGTAAGTAACCCTAAGGTTAAGCAGTGTTCTAGGTAAAAATGTTAAGTCGATTGATCAGGCTATAAGCATTCTTCAACTTAATCGGAATGTGTGAAACGTATGCCTATCCAATCCCTATTCAGATGTGCACCCATTCTTTATTTCTCTGTAACATAAGTTCGGTGCTATTCAGTTTATTCTGTTTCGTTTTATCCATCTCATCTTGTTTTTTACCCTCCTTATTATAATAACAACTATCAACAAACTTAAGCTTCTCGAGTATTTTCCACAGTTCAGCAGTTGATCAGTTGCTTATAGATTAAAAAACTCAATTTGCAAAAAATAGGTCAAAGTTCGAATCTCGATCCACTCATTTTATATTACAAACCCACGAAACATGTAGTCCTAAACGGCGTAATATATACTTGTACTCGCCGACATTTCGCGATTCAGTTATGCAAATATCATGCCATGCTTGCGGGCACAAATCCCCATATACAGTTTTAATTTTTTATACAACTCACCAACAAAGTATGTGTTTATTTGGTTGGCTTTAAACCACTTTATTTTTGGAGACTCCCAAGCTGCCCAAACCGAAATCTGTGAAACGAGTTCAAAATCTATCACCTAATGGTTTAAATTAAGCCCTCAGTATGAAGTAACCACTAAATGTAGTGCCTTACTAATTCCGCACTTAAGAAACGAACTTAACAAGAAAAAATTATCCCACTTTCGAACAAGTATTTGTGTATAACCTTAGTTTATTCTCACTAAAATTCTTTGTAACGACCTGTTAGTTCATACTTGCAGTATGTATATTCTAAAGCGATAGGACTAGTAATTCAGCTAATTTAATTAAGATTCTTAATTTTCAGATATTTGTGTATGGGCTTCAATAGTCTGTTGGCTCATGCCTCTGTAAACCACTTACATCTCCACTTATGGCAATCACCAGAATACTTACGAGCTATGTCCACAGTAAGTAAATCGATATTTTGTGGTCAAGTAAACTAAGCATGAAATAACTTTTCCCTCCAGTGTAAACACTGACCACTACATTTCCATACTCCGTATGTTAACGTAGATTCTTACTGTGTCGTGCTTGATTGTAAAAATGATTTGCGGACTATCAGTTTTACTTGATTAAAGAAACGATGTGCTTAGCTGTCCTTCAAGTCACATAAAGTTATCCATGTATAGTATTTTTCAGTTTTTAATGAAAGAGAGACTAAAATGATACGATTAGTGTAGTCTGATTTGTTAGCATTTAACATTCAGTATATTTTATGCACGTACAAACTACTAGCTTTTAAAATGGGATTTACAGTAAATACTAACTAAAACTAAGAGTACTTTTCCAAAAAACTTTGTGGATCAATTTTATTATCGAAACCAACTCATGTCAACTAAAACTATCTAAAATAGCACAATCAGCCACTTTCATTAGTAGCCAACATGTTTTAGATGCATCTGAACTAAAGCGAAAATTTTAGAATTGGAAGTAAAACTTGGTAGTGTTCGACCGTTGGATTACTTTCGTTATGTTGACAATTCGTTTTCAAAGTGACGCATGACTTTTTTAAAACGTACCTAATACGGATGCACACATATATCAAAAATTAGCTGCGTAGCTCAAAGTTGAAACGAAGACTTCTTAGGCAGTCATATGAGTTTGTGGATCATGATTAAATTACCCTTCTTGAAAAAAACAGCCCCAGTAAACTTCTATGGTATATGTGTTAAGATGTTACGTAATTAAAGTTAGTAGATAAGAAACCTTCTACTTAGTTTCCTTGTTGGTTGGCACTCGTAAGCAAGTCGTACCTATTTTGGCACCCCTCTGCTGGTCTCAACACATCCATGAAGCTCAAAACTTACCGCACAACTCAGACTATCAGTCAGTGATTTAGCATATCCCGCCTTGATTTGATTTAGTTAACTCGAACGTTCATACAATTTAATTCTACTCTAGTTAGCATTATAAACTCAATTAGTTCTGTATCAAGGCTCCACAATAACATATTTGTTTACGAGTAAAACATCAGTCCCGATTAGATAGTGGTGAGTCAGATTGACAAAACATAATCAGTTAGTTACATAAGGTTTGAAAAATTATGTTTAAAACAAAGCGAATTTTCATAATGAGTTAATGATTACCAATAGTTACGCAATTAAAATTGGATGTCAATGTAGGTTTTTTTATTTGTGAAATTGATGATAAATTATTAGTAGGACGGGTGCAGTTAAAATTAGATATGATTCATAAACAGGTTACGCAATATTAGAATCGGAACTTGAAATGTTAAAAAATCGAAGCTCGGAAACTTTTTAAGATATGGAGAGGAAAGGTTTGGAAACATGTAATGGTATATAAGTAGAAGGCCAAGGTAGATTCAGAGATTGTGTAAACCTCTGTATACAAAGGTTGGGTTTTTTATGTGTATTGCCATGGCTTCTGTTATATGTAAGAGTCGGGTTTTGGAACCATGGGGAAAATTCGGTGAGATTTTATAAATAACTTTAAACGCTGAATTTTTATCTATGGGATGACCGGTATCGACCAGATGCACTTTCATTTGTCTTTTGGTCAGCCGTTAAGGGTGATGCTCAGAAATACGAAATATTTGTCTAGTTGTGCGCCCAATATAACAGGCTCCGTAGGAGCAGTTGAAATTGTAAATATACATAGAGGCGAAGAGACGAGGAAATTTAACCTTATTTCATCAAATCACTATTGGCCGGCTGCGGAAAGTAAGACATAATCATGCCGCGTTGGATGTACGTTCTTAGGTTTTTGTATACATCGAGTTACTATCACGCTGAATATGTCACCTTTGAACTGTAATTTCAAGAATATAGGCTTTCTTGGTACCGTCGACGACTTTATTTTAGGTTAATTTGCAGAAATATGTTGCATTGAGAACCTTAGTGGGTTTGCTTGCCTACGTAATAAGTCCTGAATAAGTTTTAGCTTCTCTTCAAGAATGTCATTAGAACAAATGATTTTGGCTCTGTGGGTCAAATATTTGGCTGTGTCTTTCGTCTTTTTATGTCTCGATGAGAATATTCAACGATTTCTATATTCATACGAATATTCATCAAGATTAGAACGAATAGTTTGACAGAAATTGGGCGCCGAGTATAGAGAAGTAATTATATGTGACAATTATATTTGAAATAATCTCAGCGATTGAAATTTAAATAATTCCAACGTTTCGTCCAGACACGTTAGCTGGATGAAACGTTGGAATTATTTAAATTTCAATCGCTGTGATTATTTCAAATATAATGTTCACATATAATGATATCTATGTTCAGTTAAACGAGGAAATGGGATAGGTAACAGATTGAACTGTATGGACTATAAAATTCATTAATGCTGAGTCCCATTTCTGTTTTCAACAAGCAATATAGAGTAAGCAACTGTTTTCTGTTTTAATATTTCACACTTTGAATGGCTTATGTCTCTTTGATTTAGGTTTTAAAAATACGTAGTCGCTTTTCTTTGTTATTTTATAAATTACGGTGCGTTTTTTTTCTTCGTAAAAATAGAATTGTCTTGAAGACAAGTAAAGCATACTTTTCTTTATTTCTAGGATATTAAACTGAAATATGAAAATTCACTTTACTATGAACTGGTTAATCATCCCGTAGATAATTTTGTTCTTGAATTAACCGATTTAACAGAACTGGATCGGTTTGTAAAGTTAGTTCATTCTTTTTCTCTTTTTTTAAATTTGATCAATTACGGAATCAACTTTGACGTTATATGTTTTTATCCTTAATTAATTCAACCTGATAAAGGACATATTGACAAAACAAACTAAAATATATTTTAATTAGTTGTAGGCGTTATATAGCTAATCATGTGTACTTTTAGCAAGTTACATTAAATGTAGGTCAATTACCTGAATTCCGCAGAAAATTAAATTATCGACTTATTTCTCTATTTCATTATTAATCCAAACTTAGTGAGAATGTAGGCATATGTCAGTATGAGACTGTTTATATCTGTCTCTTGGTATTCAACTTATTTTTATCTGTGTAGCTGCAAATATTATTTCACACAAAAATTGGTCACTAATTCTAGTTCCACTGTGAGTATTACACAAGTTCTTGTCTGTAATCTTGAACGCTATCTCATTTCATATAACTTTGCATTACTGCTGCTTAATAAATATACCCATTAGAGTAAAGCGATGCTTTAGAGAAGTGACTTACTAAACCATTATACCCTCTTAGTATAACTGTATTGGGTTGGGAATCATTGTTATATAGTATTTTTTTAATCCCTTGATAACTATTCACATATTTCAACGAAGACGCTGCAGTTGGTGTAACTATCAATAGAGATAGTTAATTTGATAAAGTCGTCTAAAATTTGCTAGTCGCTGTAATTGCTGTGCAAATGAACAGCGCAACTGTATGTTGCTTACTTGAATTGCTTATTATTGGTAAAATGCAAGAGAAACACATTCATTTGTTTTACCTCGATGTTCATGAACAAATTTGTTTTATTGAAGTCTAGTAGAATGTAAAGTAATGGGCAACTTATGATCCATTCTGTCAGATTATTTTGAGTATACAAACAACAAAGTTGGTTAGAATTAATGAGGACATTCATGTGAATGAAGAACGCATACAGTACAAGCTTATCAAACAACTTAGATAATCTGACATGTTGCTAATCGAAATGATATAGTGTTTGTTTAAATTAAAATCTTAACATTCATCTCAATAATTTCAAATATCCAAAAGACGTGCCGTTTAACTGAATGTACCAAAACTTATTATTTGGTACTTTAAAGCTAAAATATTATCCGTGGTCGCACGCTATACTTTTCAACTAGGAATAGTCGCATTTTTGAGCAGCTATCGTAGTTTTCCTTGGGTCTAACATTACATCATTAACGTAAATACTAACCGTTTTTCGATAGTCCACATACAGCAAGTATTTTACTGAGTTGGCGGTACTCCCGTATTGCAACAACTACAACTGCATAGAATTTTAACTAAAATCATTGTCTAAATCTGGTTCAATGGCATCTGATGTATTTGTGAATTATGAGGAGTAGATATGACGTATATCTCACTTTTCCAAATATTGGTATTCATCGACAATTAGTATGTTATTTTAACGTATCAAATTCAGAAACTATCTGATTAGCTTCAGACCCGGTCGTGGCTGTATCAACCACATATATTTACCATTCGTCAGGTCTAGAACATAGGCATGCTTAACGGCGTCTGACAATGATAGTCCTTCTTGACTAAAATTAGCATTTGACTCTGTCGACCGAGAGATTCTGTGGCAGTGTCTGTCATTGAAAGGTGTACCACAGAAGTACATAAACCTTGTGAAGGCTCTTTACTCGAACACTACTACTCGAGTCAGAGCTTATGGCGAACTGTCATCTGATTTTGCAACTTCAAGTGGTGTCCGTCAAGGCTGTCCACTATCTCCATTTTCGTTCAACTTCTCCGTAGACATACTGGTGAAAATGACGTTCTCGTCGACTGAATTCCCAGGCATTCAGCTCCAACCAGGAGGTCCAATTATCGGTTTAGAATTCGCAGATGAAATAGTCCTGCTTGGCGAAGGCGCAGATAAAATGCAGTCTCTTGTTAGTACTGAGCAACAATGCCAGGATGTTTGGAATGATCTTCTCTCCCTCTAAATGCAAGTTGTTGCTTCAGGACTGACCTGCGTCAACACCTGAACTAAGGATGGGGAGTTAAGCAGTCGAATGCGTCGACAACTTCACTTATTTTGGAAGTCTGATTAGCCCTGATGGGTTGGTGTCAGACGAAATCTCAGCACGAATTCGAAAAGCTCGTTTGGCTTTCGCCAACTTATGTCACCTATGGGGAAGGCGAGATATCCATCTATCAATTGAGGGATGAGTATACTGTGCATCTGTGAAACGTGACCATTAAGTGTAGAAGATACTCATAATAGTGAGGTTAGATGCAGGGTATTATGGTATGATGGTAAATCAGTTGATGAGGTTGTAAATCTTCATCGACTGAGATAGTTTGGCCACTCGTTGCGTATGCCTGAACGCCGACTACCACGGCACTCAGTGCTGACTGGTGTTGGGGATGGTTGGAAGGAAGTTAGGGGCGGCCAAACCAAAACTTGGCATCAGTGCTTGGAGTCACTAACTCCTGGTCTGAGCCGTGTTGATAGATCCAGAGTATTTGGTTGGGGTCCGCGTGACTATCGTAACCATTGGTTGGAGACTCTGGATGACATGGCTCAGAATCTATCACAATAGCATCGTTGTATACACTCTCTGTTTTCCATTAAACTGTGAGGCTATAATTGATTTGTATCTTTCTTTTTACCAACTAATTCTTCCTTTCTGTACTTTATCCTTAAATACGATCTTTCTTTCATACATTACTACAACTGAGTCAACTACTTCTATGAATTTGCCGTTCATCATATGCTAATGAGGCATGGCAACTTGGACCGCTGTATATATGTGCCTGGTCCTATGTTGTAGCTGACTGAATACACGTAATCGACTGGCCAAGTATACTCTTAACGTTGATTAGCCAGGTATCGTGTGCGCTATGGAACGCTACTTAGTGGTAACCTGTATATTATGTTTCTAAGCAACCGTAATTGTATTGATATCTTCCTGAAATGTGTTTTATTCTAGCTATTCATGGATAGTAATCTCATCTTGTCAACATCTACAAATTGCTCACAATGTATTTGTAGCACGTTCCAAATCCACTGGCTGTGTACGTGTTGTTGTCTGGCCGCGTTGCTCAGTTTTTGAAGTAAAAAACCTATCTACAATTGATTCAGAACCCAGTTTTTATGTCGCTGTTGCCGAACTCGCCGGAATGATGGTTGTTGCTAGTGAAGATGTTGCCTGTACGTTGAACTTTGATAAAGTAGAAACCATCTTGCGTAGCGAACGTCTACCCAGAGGCACCATCCACGCCCTCGAATGCAAAGTATTCGAAACTGTAAGTATCCAAGAAGCGTAACTAAGACCAGATTAACTTATTTTGAAAAGTATCCACAAACATGCACCTCACACTTTTACTATTCTGAATCCACTTACTGTCCAAATTTTGTTATACAATGTAACCTTAAAGTTCGCCAACTAAACCGGTAATTTGTTACTTTGATATTATGTTTATTTTACCTGCCTTTACTTTCATTACATCCCCACTTTTAAATGATCAAGAAGGCTTCCCTCTCCACAAATTGTACTCATTAGTTGAACTCCTTACGACAGCTCCATGCCATGCTAATCACCATTTTTAATTAAATACATTACCAGCATGAACATACTTTACACAGATTCCGTTTATATAGAGAGTGGTGTTTCCTAATTAAACACTGTTCGTACAGACACGATGCTAACATCCTTTTAAGTATGGGTTTGCAGAATGAGCACTGCGTAATAATATGGGACATAGCTGTAGGAAATATCAATGGGACAGTCAGGAGAAACGATTTGACTGAATTGAAACTATCTTCATCGTTCTCTGGATGTCAAAGTAGACGTAGCAAGGGAAGTAATACACAAGTGCTACTGAGATATGCTTTGATAGTTGTTCAGGGAACCCATATGAACCGTCACGGCGTGTTGAAGTAGGTGGGCTCGAACTTTCCTCATATTACAGATAAACACTAAATCTGCCCAAGGATAGGCCACGAATCGCTGTTACAAACCCCTAATATCTAGGTTTTCCCTAGTCTTACAACACTTTGAGGATTGGGCTTTTCCCATAATATGCTAAGGCCAAAGACTTGACTGAAAACCACCCAGGACTGACAAACTGCGACAAAGCGGACATATTTCCCCTACTACGAACCAGTTCACAAGGGAACAAAAGCAGCCACACATAATACTAGAGCGCGCAGTCTACTTTATTTATGCTCTCAAGCAACAAGTTAGTACCGTGTTGCCGAAAACTAGAAGTTTGACAGGTTTAGATAAAATTGCTTGATTCCTAGCATCTTGGGTAAAGAACAGTATATTTCATACAATGTTGTCGTCCCTACTTCGAAATTCTAAAGACTCCGCGCATCTCCACTAGCCAGTCTATACGCAAAAGCCTTCAACTTACTAAGGATCCATCGTAAGCTTCCTAACAACAGTGGACGAATACACTGCCGCACTTCTAAGTATTGTCAACTCAATGCTACTGACGCCGCCGTTACGTACCATCGACGATCTATGCACGAGTTTGGCACACGTCAATGCTTAATCCCGTTCAATTCCGTAATACGGAAGTTGTAGCACAGCCAGGGTACTAGATGCACTAACCCAGAACTATAAAACAAGTCAAGTAATGCAATGTTATTTAGTGAATATATTTAGAAGCCATGTAAGAAAACCTAAATCACACGTATGGGCATCTGTTGTCTCCCGCTGACCTTCATTATTAGTCATCAAATACCTAGAGACAAAAAACATGGATTAATCACTCATACCATGACATTCATAGGCATATAAACGTGAATACTTATATTAGACAAGCCTCAGCCGCTCCTCGATATAATCACTGTGATGACTTACCAAAGCATGCATCCAGTTTGGTACTTCTGAAAAAAAGAAAACACTTAGTCAAAAATCAGAGTAACTATGACCAAGAGGAACACAAGCACTTCAAGGTAACCAGAACGGAACCTGAAGTAAGCTAACCAAGGTACGATCATCCTTATGAACTTACCGGATCGCCATCGAAAGGTCTCAGTAATGCGTATAGTTTCTCAGATCTGTTACTTGACAAGCAAAAACGTTAGGTAGGTAGGCCATTACTTATTGTCCTGACACATCTGAAAAACAATAAGGCACTGTTAGAAAGATCAGAGTAACTATGACAAGATGGTACACAAGAAACCAAGTGCAACCAGAACGGTCGACTTAAGTCAGAATAACCGAACACTAGTTATCATCATGAGAACCAAACCAACCTTAGGTAATGCGCATTCATGACCATCACGCACATATCAAGTCTGGCAAACAGGTTGTCCCGCTCTTAACAAAACACAGGGCCATTCAAACAACGTTTATAAAGTGTCAATAATTTACCCGTATCCATTTTCCATCAAAACGAGTCGTCTCAAGTCAATGAAAAACAGCTCCGAATGTAAGTCAGACGTTCTAAGTTAAGGAGAAATGCAATCTTTATACGGATTCTTCATAAAGTCGTACCAGTATATAAACTGTAGTCCTTTTGCGAGCTTATTCAACAATTTGAATAGACTTTAACCTTTTAGATGACATTTAACTACTGAGTAAATTTCATTTTTAAAATTTTTCCTTCACCACATGTACCTCTTTTATTTACGGTCTTGTTAGCTCCACACACGCTGTCTGTGCATATTCTTATTCTATCTAATATCTGTTTCCTTGCTCGTATTATCCACCATCTAGTTCTGGCTATGTTTTTACTTATCGAGAGTAGTTCTCTTAGTGGACACGCCTTTCCTTCTCCGCCCAACATCTTACTCCTCGTCGATTTCAAATCGAAGAATTAACTTGGATTATATCTGAACCTATGTCCTAAAATGGCAAGAGCCTTCATCTAAATTTTAACTAATTAAAACCTGAATATTACATTTTGCACCACAGCAAAGTTGTGGGAGTCGAGTGAATGACTCACGACAATGTTTTAAGAGTCCAAACTTTCCGCATCTACGGTAGAGTTACATATTTTCTTTTTTTGTAACTTCGGCTGAGTAATATGCAATACAGAACGTGAGTCCAATAAGGACTTTGAAGCTAAACGGGGGTTGGTTTGGGCCATCTTTTCTTCTTCACGTCATCTATTTCCCATTGGTCGCAGCATGCACACTAGAACTATTTGAGATGATAATGGTTTTGTCTTGGTCATCAGTCGCCGCTGTAGTAACCTGGTCACTAGTATCTAATGGTGTTTAGTGATATAAATCCCTATTGTTTGGGTGTCTGACACGTACCGTTGTGGTGTTTGTTATTATGTTAGGCCCATATATATTATTCTGGCTTTCGGACTTACTTACTTACGCCTGTTACTCCTAATGGATCATAGGCCTCCGATCAGCATTCTCCAACCCATACTGTCCTGGGCCTCCCTTTCTAAGTCCATCCAATTCTTGTTCATTTCCCTCATGTTCTTTGGTCTTCCTCTTCTCCTCATTTGACCATGAGAATTCCATGTGAGTGCTTGTCTTGTGACGCAGTTGGGTGCACTCCTCAATGTGTGCCTACCCACTTCCAGCGCTTCTTCTTGATTTCTTCCTCCACTGTGATCTGGTTTGTTATCTCCTACAGTTGTAGAATTATGGTCTACTATGATATTAGTACTGCTCTAATAATAGACCTAATCCTAAACTTGTCGATTTGTCATGATATAACTGCCTAATCTATAAGATCTTACGTGGAAGTCACACCATCGACTACACCCACTCACTGTATCGTATCAATTACCAATACATGATGAGGAACAAGGTTAGGCTAGAGAAAGAACAATATATTTAATATGAATAGAAGATATAAAGTAACACTGAGATGGACCACGCCTGCATGGACGAGCCATGCCACTCGATCAACTCCAGTCCATTCAATTCATTGTTCGCGCCTTCTCCATTGTTAGGTATTTCCCCGAGTTAAATATTGAATATCTATTTTCTGAGTAGTCTCGTGTTCACAGCTTTGTGGATTGTGTGGCTATTGTCCAATGCCACTACACTACTCTCCCACCAGAATCAACGTGATGTTGGTTCGATACCAAATTGGATGGGATCGTCGCGCGCCGGAGGTTACCAAGGATAATAAGGATCCTCCGGGTATTGATAAGCTGAAAGATAAATCAAAAAGACGGCAGCATCTGGTCGGGAAATACATGTAATAATCTTAAAATATCTGCTTTCATGATTAACACGCTTAAAATGAAAATTTGGTTGAAGATTATTTGAACTATAAAAAATGGGATTACAATAATAATAATAATAATAACAATAATAATAATAATAATAAAACGATGCGTGTTAATAACTTGACTTATAGGCAGTAATTATTTTGTGTTTAGAAATATTAAAGTAATGAATATTGTAGAAATGTTAATATTGGTATTAGTTTTGGTTTAAACTATGAAATCAAATAACGATTATGCCGGTAAGTTGTCCATATGAGTTGAATTCCAAATGCATCTGTATTAGTAGGCTAACTGAAGGAACAAAAGTATACCGTGGAGAAGAATTCCAACTAGTGTTCCAGTTAGTTTGATACGGTTTATTTAGTTACGGGGAGATTTTCTCAGCCTCATTTTTACTTGACCGTGATAGAATTTAGTAATACTACTAATACACATGAATGGTTATCAAAATAAAATTTAAATACATGAGTGGTAATTATATGAATTTTGGACAGATAGCTAGGGACAAATCGTTAAACATGAGTGTATTCGTAAGAGACATGCTCTGGACTCAATGTTCTGATCTGCAATAGACTATTTATTTATATTTATACTTGCTGGCTGATTGGGCATACAAGTTAGTGGCAAGTATGCAGTTTATCATAAGGCGGAATACGATTTAATTGAGATATAGTGGTTATAAGTTATTAAAATCAGTTAGGCCTGTGTCATATTACGAAGTGATGTGGTATTGCAAGATGTATTTAGTTAAATAAGTTTTTACAAGATGATTAATAGTGATTGATGCTCATGTGATTATCAGGGAGTACATAAGTTGTAACCAAGGGGAGTACACTCCCAACTCATGTATATGATAATGGCTTGAACCTTAGTCAGTGTTGGGGTAAATTCGACATTGATGTTTTCAGTTTGCAGGAGATTTGCTCGACTGCTTATACTGATTATTTGCATGCATGATTGTGTCGCTAAACCATCAATTAGACTGACAAGGTTTTGAGATATTTACTGAATAAGCAACCGATAGAGAAACATACTGTAATCATCTGTAGTGAATGAAGATAAAAGAAAAACAACACTAGTGATAATTGTAAGTCGATTTGCTGACCGATTTTGTTAATAGTTTCATTAATTTTATCAATCATATTACGTGATTGTCAAGTCATGACAATGCTTTATGACGATATCCTGAAACTATTACGTTTAGCTAGTTATAGTGTTGATTGAGGATTAGTCAGTGGAAAAATAGGTATTGTTGCTTTAGGTGATTCGAAATCATCAGAAATTTATAACGTTAAAGAATCCGAGACGCCTAATTTAATTATAAATTTTAATTCAGAAAGATTCGTTTAGTGTTAATTCTAGTAGGCTACGGAGTTTTGATTTTAAACGTTTGTTTAGCTAACAGCTACCTGAGGATTTAGTTAT